TTGCCAAAAACTAATCAGCTCTTTTCCCTATCAATAGGAATCGAATGTTTTTTGAACCATTCAAATCGGTTGATCCGTGCGCCCTAAAACGTGACTGGAAATTTGTATCCATACATACATACACACACACACACACACACACACACACACACACACACACACATCCATTTTTTCTGAGGTATGCCAAAACGTTCAAAAACCTTCAAAACGTCGAGAAATGTTAAAATTTTCAATTCCGATTTTCGGCCCATTACAATAACTTACCCTACGGGAAGTTAACAAGAGTTAAATTTATATTTGATGTCATAGATTTAGTACTCAGATCTTAAAACGTCTATTCATCGATAAAAAAGATCTAAACGAGTTAAAATATAAAGCAAACTCTGTACCCCCAAAAAATCCCATTTTCCCACAGCATTGTGCATTTGGCCGCGTAATGAGAATTAGCATCGCGATGGCGTAGAGCAAATTATAGACAAATATTGCACCTAAGAATTTAAATAAACATTACATCAGATCGTCTAAGCTTTTATTTTCTTATGTCTTGACTTGACCTCCACAACAATTCGGCGATTTATGTGAGATTCCGACGATTAATGAATCATATACGTCAATTGAATGAAATTAATGAATGGGTCTGTTGGATTGTTGGCATAGTCGATGTCATCTACGTCAAGTTCGGTTTGTCCATCTCGTAAATGGATTGAAAATCCCAAATTAGATATAATAGTCAAATCAATGAGGAAGGGTAATAAATGAAAAATTTAAATTTGTATCATATAACAGGAAGCTGATTTTCAAAAATTCGGTGGTAAGGAAATAAAAAATTAACATGTAAATTAAATGCAAGATACAAGATAGGAAATGGTAAAAGCTGTGCTTTCACATTATGGATCTAGTTTATAGGCCAAAAATTTATAGTTCAATAATTCAAGGAATAAATTCAATTAAATTTACTTTCTACATCTCTTCTTTAGGAATAAATAGTCAACAAATTGTCTCCTATCTTGTGAAAATTATTACGTCTTTGTGTCTATATTTAAGCACAAATATCTTTTTTCTCAGCTAATTGTTAGCATTCTAAATTTTAAATGTTAATTTTTTTTTTAAATTTTCTACTTCTTTGTTGTAATAATTTAGTCGAGTTGTATTATTTGCGTTTCCCAACCGTTTTCCTTTCAAACTAAAAAGTAAAGCTTTAAAATTTCAACAAATCAAATATAAACTGAAGGAGATCTTTCCTAGTTGCTGTTGAACATGTTTTCAGAAAATTAAGGTATGATGTGTTTTGCTATCAAAACACAATTGGCCTTAACTCATTCAATAGCATAAAAAGGCACAGATGTTAAATAAAATGAAACGTGTCATGATTTAAAATTATTCATTATAAAATCATAGTTTTTTGATTTTTATCAAAAATTCATTAGTTTAATTTCTAATTGATATATTTCTACAAAGCTTTGAATATTTTAAAAGCTTTAACGCAATTTAAAATATTAATTGAGGAAACAACTCGGTGGATTTTCGTTTTTCTTTCAAACTAAAAAAGGTATAGCTATAATAAATATAAATCGATAAAAAAATTTCAGAATCGCTACTGAGAATGTTTTAAGAAAATTAAGGAATGATATCTTCAGCTATTAAAATATATTTGTCTTTAATTCATTTTAAAGAAAAAGACGCAGATATTAAATGATAATTATTTCAACAAACACTGTTTGCATTTTTATTTTGACTATTTTATTTTAAATTACTAATTACAAAATAATGCTCTATTAGTGTTTATCAAATATTAATTAGCATAATTTCTATTTATAAAAAGGTTTGGATATTTTAAAAGCTCTAAAAGAAAATTTAAACTATTGAGATGAAACGACTCAGCAGATATTCCCATAAGTTCTGTTAGTGAATGCATACATTAATTAAAACAATTTAAATATTTTTGAAATATTTTGAAATGTTTCATGTCCTTTAAACCTATTACCTGTATAATATCATTGTAACAGTTTTTGAATTTCAAAAATATTCACAGGATTTATTATGAAAATGTTGATTTCTTTAAAAATTACTTTTGATTTTATTTAACGATCAATTTTATTTAATTTCTTATATTATTATATTACCGTAAATTATTATTGATTTTTATCAAACGACTTAATTTTTTGTAATCACTGCACCTATATTAGAGAAAACGCAGACGAATGTAAAATTTAAATTCGCAGACTCAGACGTGTATCTTTTCTGATAAAATTGTCAAACAATTTAGCATGATATAAGAATTCTATGAAATATAATATTTGAACAAAGACATAAACTTCTCTATAAAAATCGAAATGCATTCCATCCAAATGAATCGAGAGCAGAATGAAATTTGATGGAATGCATTAATGAAAATACAGATTTTCAAATATATTGATATTTATGTAAAAAAAACTTATTTTTTGCAACATTTCATGACTTTATGCATATCATAGGGCAATAGTTAAAGCAGACGAATGCATAGATAGATATTCAGGCAAACTTACATTCTTTAACGATGATTCCAGAGAAATGTACTTACATCGTAATCACATCAAGTTCTTATGAAAATTCATTTTTATTAAATCTATTTTGAATATATACTCTAAGTGAGTGAAGCGAGGCTTAAAGGATCGCAAGTTAAAAGATCCATCGTCATTATCTCAAAAACAAGCGAAGTATAGAATTTTTTATTTATCCACTAGTTACCACCTTTATTATTACGGCGGCGCTATCAGAAAATATACTGAAATGTATCAATTTTCATATCAAAAGTTTTTTTCGTTGGCAGTTTTTATGGTTTTGAGCTTTTGTATTTAGTTTATGATACCTGAATATAATTTCTAGGTATACATTATTTTGATACATGTTATGCGCTGCCATGTAGTTCAATTAGTTATTAATATAATACTAAAAGTCTTATACCAAAAAGTTATTATACCAATTTTATTTGAAAAATAACTTTACATAATATGTCTGAATTGAATTTGAAATAAAAAACATTTACTTACTACTGAATATTTTTGCGCTAAAAATTATTGTAAATATGATGCAAATACGAAGATTACTTTTGATATATTTTCTCTAGGTAAATTTTATAATTATATATTCTTGATAGATTAAAAAAATGCATGCTAAGCTAGGTAGACTAGAGATCTTTGGGATCTAATACTCTATAGGATGATCAATATTTGATACAAACTATATGAAAAATAATTATTATCTATTAATAGGTGGCGAATACTAAGATTAGTAGTTCATGGCATCGTGCCTTAGGGCAACTTGCTAGAAATTCCCGTACCAAAAATTATAATTTTTGAAAAAGATTCAAACTTTTTTTAGAAATTTGAAAAAAAAAATAGATTTTTGAAAATTTTAAAATTCTTGAAAAAATTTGACCTTTGAGAAAAAATAAAATTTTTTTATACTGTGAAATCTTTTAGAAATTTTGAACTATTTTTCAAAGTAATCGCGATACATAAGCTGCTGTACTAACGAAATATAGAGACGCGTGAGCGCTGCGCCGCAGTCTAATGGATAAACATTGATACGAAACCCATGGAAATTTTAACAAAATTTGTTTTTCTTATTAAAATATTCAGAAAACATTTGTTAATTTGATGTGCATATGTCTAATAATCATTTTTGTCTCCTGAACCGCTAATCTTGCCTTACCAAAAATTTTACCAGTTCTTCATTTTGTCAATACAAATAAAATGTTTTTTGAATCATTCAAATCGGACGCTCCGTTCTCTCAAAAATTGAATTACCATTTTTGGCACTTTTTGCTGCGTGTGTTCGGAACGGCTTGGCCTGCCTTTGCTAAACACTAATTAACACTTCTCCTTATCATTAGGAATCAAATGTTTTTTGAATGATTCAAATCGGTTGATCCGTGTTCTCGAAATCGTCGACACACACATACATTCATTTTTTCTAAGGCATGCCAAACTGTTCAGAAACCTTTGAATCGTAAAGATATATAAAAATTTTCATTTTCGATTTTTGCAAATACTATTACTGCGAAGTTGAGAAGCTTTTTTCTATGCAAAATATTATTGAATATGTTTTTTAGGTTGAATTGAATTTTGCTTTTCGAAGGACCGATTGTAAAATACTTTGATTTTGTAACTAGTAATATTTATTTTACTTTAAAAACATAAATTACATCGTATTTATAATAATTTAATATGGTTTTATTCCGTGTTGAATGATTTGAGTTTTAATTTTATAATAAATCGATTGATGATTTTTTGTTTAATATATCAAATATATCCGCATGCTTTGATTGGCGCGAACAGAATATATAGAAAAACTACATAAAAAATGCAACGTTCAGCTAAGTTTGCTTAAGCTTGTACTTCAACAATCCAACGTGAATGTAATTAAATAAATTCGTATTTATACAGAACCCTCAGTGTGTTGAGTACGAGATAGTATTATTAATATAAGGTATTTTTAATATTTATCAAAGTTTTCCGTAAGCCATATCGACAATCAATCATTTCTCCTAACCCAAACCGGTGTGTAAGTGCAATAGTGCATCCGCGCATCTCTCGTGGATCTTTGCTTATATGAACCCAACTTAGAAAGCTGATTATTCTCTAAATTGCAAGCAGATGCATAATCTTCGGCTAAAACTCGATAATCTAGTATTGGACAAAATTTAATTGTCACTTCCTATATATAAAAGAGCGTCTTGTCTGCTCATAGCATTTTGTAACTATTGACCTAAGTGCGAACCTGTGGAGTCGCGAACACAAGCGGCCGCGAGTGCGAAGAACAAGTGTTGGCGAAAAAAAATCACTTGAGTCAGTAGTTTATTGGACGTCGAATAGAGTGCAACAATTAATAAGTAATATAATTGGAATCAGGATTTTACATGCGATTTTTAATCGAATTAAAGGATCAATCCCTTTGGAATTGATCGATTTTTTCGATAAACTTATCCAAATTTTCGGGTACCAAAATTATGTGTGACACATTTCGAAAAATTAGGATTTGAAAATTTCTAAGTTGGAAAGCAACGTGGATATTTGCACACGTGTAGAATTGACTTTGCTGAAATTGCAAGGACTAGTGTGGAGTTTTTGATATATTTTTAATTTTTTTTTAATTTGGTAGTATATACTGCAGAACTGGAGGGCGGTAATAGAAATAGGTATGTGTTTAAAAATATTTTTTTTGATTTTGTGATATATTTATTTTTTAATGTTAAAATTTATTTTTTGTTTACGAACAAATTTTTGTTAAAATTTATTTTTTGTACGACATAATAAATTTATATTATTTTTTTTACTATTTTACTAATTAATTAATTAATTAATTTATTTACAAAAATGGCTATTGATTGTGTATACTTATGATAAATTTTTTAATTGACTTTGCTTAAAATTAAAAATATGTAAAAGAACGTACTAAATTTAATTTTGAATTGTTTTAAATGAATTGATTATTAAAAAAATAGTTGATTATAATAATATTTGATATCAAAATACATAAGAAAAACTTTAGAATATTTACGAATACATTTTTGTTAAAATTTATTTTTTGTACGACATAATAAATTTATATTATTTTTTTACTATTTTACTAATTAATTAATTTATACATTCACAAAAATTTCAATTGGCTATGTATACTTTTGATGAATTTTTTAATTGATTAATTTAAGCAAAATTAAAAATATGTACTTACTAGAACGTAATAAGCTTAATTTAAAATTTATTTTTGATTTTTTTTAAATGAATTGATTATTGAAAAAATAGCTGACAATAATAATATTTGATATCAAAATACATACCAATAACTTTAGAATATTTAAAAAAAAAAATTATAAATATGCTTATCGAATTACTTTGCATATCGCTCGATGCACTTTTTTCTATACCTGTAATTAAATACGGGCAAATTTTTGTATGTGCAATATTTTTTGAAATTATTATGTATTACATAAAGTTAAATTTTAGTAAATAATTATAAATAAAATTTATTCATAATTATTTAAACAAAAAATTAAGCTAATTATTAGTAGAAAATATTTTTTGTTGCAATTTAAAATATACATCTTCTTCTTATCTGCAATCCTTGAAAATTTTCTACGTTTTTTATATTTTATTAGATTGATCAGTTCAAGAATAATTTCATTCATCAATTACTAGATTATTATCACTGTATTGTTGACAAATATCAATTTGGTGTGTTAATTTGTTGTGTATATAGAGTCATTACATTTGAAAATGATGGCCTATGATGTGTTATTAACTAATACTATTCGTTAAAAATGCTCTTCGGAAAATCCGCGCGATTTCAAACATTGTATTTGATTAAATATACATTATATATATATATATATATATATATATATATAATATATATATTATGATTTTGGAATTTTTCAGTATAATTAGATACAAAATTTTGATGTATTTCGAGGCATTGTTTGTTAATTAATATTATTAATATATATATATATATATATATATATATATATATCGATTTTGGATTTTTCAGTACAATTAGAATTAAAATTTTATTGTTGTATTTTGAAGCATTGTCTATTAAATTATATATATATATATATATATATATATACATACACGTGTATTTAAATAACATCTCCTCATATTCTGGTATTTTGATTCCAGTGATGATTGACAATTCTCAAGTATTTACTCATGACAAAAATCTCGAGTTACCACAAGTTTATTAAAATTAGTTGATTTACTTGCTTCCATACTATATTTTTTTAATTTAAAATGTATTGGATGATATCATATTTATTTGTTATTTTTATATATTTACGAGGACTACAGTACTCTTAAATGAATATGAATTTAAAAATTTAAATAAAAATTAATTATTAAAAAATAAATGTATTCAATAAATTTTTTTGCAATTTTTCAATCAGCTTCTATTTTATGTTGTTTGTCGAAATTTGAAAGCTTGAACTTCGGATGGCATTTTAGAAATATTTTTAAACTGCATTTAAAATTGTTGAGAGCAAAAATTTGGCTCCATATATTATCTACGCACTTAAATAGTTTGAATTTAAATAAATAATCAATTGTATTTTTAACAAACTATTTATCTAACTTCTTATACTATTGACTCTTAAGTCGAATTTCTTATATATACTTCGTTCTGGGAAACCTGACATCATGCAGTAGCGATATCCATTTTTACTTAAAATAAAAAATATGTTCACAATTGAAAATAACCCATTTCGGGCACTGCGGTGTGATATGGCAATGGGAAAATTTTCACAATATTCTTCCCTGAATTGAGTTGGAGTTACCTCAGGTCACGGACCAGACTTACGGCAGTACTACCCTAGTACTAGTTAAAAAAAATAATACACTACACCCCCTTTTCACTATTTTATTGAATTGTGTTGAAGACACAAACGTTTCGAGATCTCATCTTCAGTGCAAATATGTAAATAATTTTAATTACATATGGTCATAAAAGCTTGAAACTATTTTCTTATGCAAATAGTATAAAACTATCATACATATTTTTTTTTAATTTTCATACAATATTTATACAAGCTTATATTTTGTCGTGAATTTGGTGTGTTTGTTAGTATTTCTTTATTTTGTTTATATTTTTTTAGAATTATTTTTACTTGTGGTGATGGTAACATGCCTTAGAAACGTCTCCAAGATAAATAAGAGAGAAAGCAATAATTTGTTACACATCAACAAAAATAAAATAAAAACAAAATTTGAAATTATTTTTTTTTGTATAATATTATAATACAATAATGATAAGTAAATTAAAAATGGTAAAACCCTTTAGTCGCCTTTTAATTAAATCAATACATTTTAATTGTGAAAATCAATTAATCTATTAAACTTACCCACTCTGATAAGTAGAGTAGACTAATTATAAAAGGTATATATTTACGTGGACTATAGTGCTCTTGATGTATATGAATGTAAAAATTTAAATAAAAATAAATGATTTAAAAATAAATAAATTCAATGAAAATTATCATTTTTTAATCAGGTTTATACCATAATGTTACCTCTTCTTGCTAATTCAATAAATAATATGAAACTGTTAAATATACGTTATCAAAAAATTTCTCTCAAATATATATATATATATATATATATATATATATATATATAATCCTTGATATCTATTTGCATTGATTTGACGAGTTCGTTGAGCAATTTCGTTCTTGGTCTTTGATAATTTAGTATTCTGTATCTTTGTATTACTGTTTTCTCTATGTCGTGGTACCTCGTGTACTGTACTTGTATTTATGTAATACTAGTTGTATGAAAGATGTACATATAATGTTTACTTTAACAATTTTCGACTCCCCGTATATTCCATAATCTTGTTTCAAACGGCTAGTTAATAAGTTAGAACGGGATCATATCGTGGTTTTACTCAAAGCGTGCTTTGATAATATACTATATAAAGGGAAATAATATTCTGGAAATTCTAGATTTCCATTGATAAATTAATCTTTGAACATTGAATTTTGATAGCATTTTTTATGTAATACTTATATTACAAATTTATAATTAGCATTGTATACAATTTAGTGAATTTTTCATGACAATATAATTAGAGAATGTAGAAAGTATAAGAGACAGAAATTTATCATTTTCACAGAAGTTTTAACAAGCTTGTGTCAAAAATAATGAAAGTAAATAATTGGTTTAGTTGCGTAAAAAATCATGTAATTTATATATATAATATTGTATATTGATATCAATAAGTTATTTCTACCGTAAACTGATTTTAAAATTCAAATTTGAAAGATTTGAGTTAGAAATAGTTTTGTTAACGTTTCTTGGTCCTTTATTCGCTATTTTTTTTGAAAATTCAAAAATATTCGTTAGGTATCAATTATTGTCAATACATAATCAATATCTATATGACCGTATTGTCGATATGTGACCAAATAACCAATCATATATCAAAATTGACCGTCTTGTTTTTTTCCAATTAACAGTTTAGTTTTCAATTTTCAATCCTGATTCGATTTGAAGTATCAAAGTTTATTTGAAAACTATCAGTAGAAAATAATTTATCTTGATGAATTGATAAAGATTAATGAGCTGTTTTTTAGTAATTGATATTTAATCAATGATTTTAATATTACTTGTTAACTTTTTTCAATAATTAATTTATTTAGCTTACTTATTATCATCTTTATATATCTTATTATAATCAGAAGAATGAAAATATATAAGCTAAATGAAAATTTTCAAAGTATCAAAAATATCTAAAACAAAATGTAATAATTTTTCCAAGATTTTTAGCGTTAGTCTACTTTTACTTTTTTTTTTAATTTTTAAATTTAAGATCAGAAATAACTGTCGGTACTAATTTAGGGTGAATTTATAATATTTGTTCAAGTTTTTGTGCTTGTTATTTTATTATATCTTGTACTGTTTTCAATTTTAAATCATTATTGATTACCTTGCTTGTTACTTACTATGATATATCGTTAAAAATAATAATATTGCTAAATATATCTATGGATAATCGCTAAATTTGATTTATCTGCGCACCCCCAAAGTTAGTAGTTTACAATTTTGAAAATACAAATCAATTTTAATTCTTTTTGATAAACTTTATTATTAATTCCCGTTGGGTAAGCTATAGTAATCTCCAAAAAATCAAAAATGAAAATTTTTGTATATCTTACCGTTTCAAAGGCTTCTGAACATTTTGGCATACCTTAAAAATGTATGTGAGTGTGTAGTGTGCATTTATGTACAATCGGATATAATTTTTTGTCAACGATTTGGAAAGCACAGATCAACCGATTTGAATGATTCAAAAACATTCGAGTTTTATTTATGAGTAATTAGTTTTTGGAAAATGCAGATACAACCGTTTCGAAGTTACAAATAAAAAATGGCAATTCTGTGTTTGAGCGAACAGGGCATCATGTTAGAATTATTCAAAAGCGGTTCATTTGTATTGGCGTGATGAAGAACTGATTACATTTTTAGAAAGGTTGGTCTAGCTGTTTGGGATATGTGGAAAAAAGCTCCAAAACCTGATATTTGGTAATCACAAAATATCATTGGACATAAGCACATCAAATAATCAGATACTACATAGTGATTTTGATAACAGATACAAATTTTGTTGTCATTTCTTTGGTTTCTGTACCAGGAATTATAATGC